CTCTTGAACGGTGGGAGGGGACTCTCGAGGAATGATATGGGGGGCCTCTTCAACGATAGGAGTGGACTCTTGAGGGATGACAGGCGAGTCGGGCTTCTTCTTGCGGTGTCTTCGCACTATTGGGGTGTACGGAGACTTAATAGCACGTGCACGCTGTCTGATGCGTGAACTCCGTCGTGCAAGCATAACCCGACGTAAAGCATCCACTCTATCGGGCCGCTAAATAATTAAATACAAAAATCAGTAAATAAACAGACATGATATTTAAACAGTGAAAACAAAGACAAATATGTTTCAAACTTGCATTGTATTCACCCAAGTCATTATTCTATCATAGTTCACAAAATGCATCAGATAACAAAGAAAAATATGTTTCAAACTAATACCCTGAAGTTAGTATTTGTCTTTGTTTTGTCTATTGGTTGAAGTAATGCAATCCATTCAAGTTTCAATTTGCAGAAGAAGAAATAGTTTACTTTCGCAACACGAAACTTAAAATCGCAACGCGAAACCAAAATCGCAACGCGAAATGAAAATCGCAACGACAGAATCGCAATGCGAAATGAAAATCGCAACGAAAGAATCGCAACGCGAAATGAAAATCGCAATGCGATTTTGGTTTCGCGTTGCGATCTTGTCGTTGCGATTTTGGTTTCGCGTTGCGATTCTGTCGTTGCGATTTTCATTTCGCGTTGCGATTTTGGTTTCGCGTTGCGATTTTAAGTTTCGTGTTGCGAAAGTAAACTATTTCTTCTTCTGCAAATTGAAACTTGAATGGATAAATTTACTTTCAACCAAAAGACAAAACAAAGACAAATACTATTTCACAGTGTTAAAGAATACACAGTTTAGCAGAATTGGCAGCAACCGAACAAATTTACTTTCAACCAAAAGACAAAACAAAGACAAATACTATTTCACAGTGTTAAAGAATACACAGTTTAGCAGAATTGGCAGCAACCGAACAAATTTACTTTCAACCAAAAGACAAAACAAAGACAAATATATTTCACAGTGTTAAAGAATACACAGTTTAGCAGAATTGGCAGCAACCGAACAAATTTACTTTCAACCAAAAGACAAAACAAAGACAAATACTATTTCACAGTGTTAAAGAATACACAGTTTAGCAGAATTGGCAGCAACCGAACAAATTTACTTTCAACCAAAAGACAAAACAAAGACAAATACTATTTCACAGTGTTAAAGAATACACAGTTTAGCAGAATTGGCAGCAACCGAACAAATTTACTTTCAACCAAAAGACAAAACAAAGACAAATATATTTCACAGTGTTAAAGAATACACAGTTTAGCAGAATTGGCAGCAACCGAACAAATTTACTTTCAACCAAAAGACAAAACAAAGACAAATACTATTTCACAGTGTTAAAGAATACACAGTTTAGCAGAATTGGCAGCAACCGAATAAATTTACTAAGCAATCTAAGTGAAATGGCTAATCTAAGTGAAATTACGAGTAAATTTATCATTAAGTTAAATATGGAAAATCTTAAACTTACCTCGTTGCGTAGAGTATGAACCTCATTCTGCAACGATACTATCATCTCACGTAGAGCGGCAACCTCACCACGTAAAGTTGACACCTCCACACGCCATGCACCATCGTTATCGCGTAGAGTACCGATCTCCTCACGCAAGGCATTGACCTCATCACGTAACTCCCTTGACTCATCCCGTTGAGGTGGAGGTGGAGAACAGGGAGATAGGAGTCGTGGCATCTTTGCCGGTCGCCTATCATGAGGTGATGGTGGAGAAGAGGCTCGATGATGTGACGGGATAGGTGATGGCTCTCGTTCTAGAGATGTATAGTCGGGTCGATCGGGTGATGGCTCTAGGTGAGGTGATGGCTCTCGAATTGGAGGAAGTGGATGCTGCTCATCATCCGTGCCATCAAAAAAATTCTGACTAGCTTGCCACCAATCAGTGGCAAGCTCTTCCTCCGTGGGTGTCAGTCTTTGTAATGGAATGTTGGCCTCCTAAAATATAAAAACTCAAACAAAGTTAAACGTATACTATTAATAACTTGTTTATATATTATATGAAAGTATTTGTGTTAACTTACATTATTTATTGTGGCATATGGTATTAAGTCTTCCCAATCCAACAGAGTTTTCCTCTTCCAGGAAATAGCCCTGGGAATATCATTTGACGTTTTTATTGCATATGTACGCATGCTGGGGAAAGCCTCGAATATCCAAATCTACAAACAATATAATAACAAAATTAGTAATTGTTAAATAATTAATTATAATTTTAGAAACATTATATAGAAATTCTTACCTTAAAGGCCCAAACAAAGCCTGACAAAGTGTATTTGGACCCATCGCCCCGCAAACTTTTGCGGTCATCAAAGGCAGACGACAACTTAGTCCAGGTAGCTTTCCATATATACGAACCCCACGGAAACAGATTCCATGCATTCAGGTCCTCTACCAATATTATTAGCTCCCGATGAATAGGTTGTCTGGCCTCTCTGCCTAAAAAGCCGGCATACACAAGTAGTAGAAGGCATACTCGGACAACATCGACGTCTTCCATCCGAGTGAAACCAGCTTTCTTATTAAATAATTTCTTCAGGTCGTCGACATGTAGGTTCGGCTTCTCCATTGACTCATCCGGAAAAACCCGGGATAACCATGATGGGCGGGCGATATGACGAGTGTACCGGCCTACATCATCGTGTCCGAATCGTAGACCAGTGATTAAGCAGAACTCCTTCCGCCCAAAGCAAGTATACGCTGGTGGAAAATGAAACCATATCTCTTCCTCACCACGTTGTATACTGTCGGGTAGATTTGATGTCATGGTCTGAAGCCACAAATGGGTCAAATTAGCATCTCCACCCGGATGCTGTACTCTCAGCCATGGCCCGAAGCAGGTTTCCTCAAACAATTGTCTTTGAGCAGGTGAAAGCTTCTTTGCAATTGTAGTGGCCAGGCTGACTTTATTTCTCAAGGTCAATTGAGCCGAAAAAAATTTCTACAAAACAATAAACATACCAAGTTAGATATACCAAAAACTACACTGTGAAGATATACCAAAAACAATAAACATAAAAAGTAGTAGTTTATTCTTGAAACTAAAATTTGCAACACTGTTTTGTCTTTTGGTTGAAATGAAAATCGCAACGAGAGAATCGCAACGAGAGATGACAATCGCAACGAGAGAATCGCAACGCGAAATGAAAATCGCAACGACAGAATCGTAACGCGAAATGAAATCTAAGTGAAATGGTTAATCTATTATTGAAATGACCAGTAAACTTATCATCAGTTTCAATATGAAAAACCTACAATAATGCAAACATTTCAAAATAAAAATAATTAAAAAAACTAACCCTCGGAGGTTGATTTTCCATTTCTGAATATTGTGAGGGATTTCTGACCGTGAATGGTTGTGAGGGATTTCGCCGGAGATGGGGACGGAAATCTTCGGAGATGGGGACGGATTTCTTCGCCGTAGAGAGTGAGAGATGGAGATGGGACTGAGTTGTGATTTTAGGTTTTAGGTTATGAGTTGCGATTACGGGATTTTGTCTTAATATTCTTTTTGTAATTTGAAAATAAAATACGCGTAGCGATTATAATGGCGCTTTAAATATCGCGTTGCGATTTACGGATACGCGTTGCGATTTTATGTATTATCGTTGCGATTTACGGATACGCGTTGCGATATACGGATACGCATTGCGATTTACCCATACGCGTTGCGATTTACGGATACACGTTGCGATTTACGGATACGCGTTGCGATTTATGTGTTCGCGTTGCGATTTTCATATTCGCGTTGCGATTATGGAAAATCGCAATGCGAATTTGTACTATCGCATCGCGATTTTCAATAATCGCGTTGCGATTTTGGAAACTGATTTGCGATTCTAGAAACTGATTTGCGATTCTGGGGATCGTGTTGCGATTTTTATTTCGCGTTGCGATTTTGTTGGTCATTTTGGCAAATCCAAAAAAAGTTGGTTAAAATCGTATATTATAACTTTTTTTTTGTCACTGAGGCGATTTTCTCTTATTTTTAATTTATCATGGATGAATGTGAGTGTCTACCAATAAAAAAATTATCTCATATTTTAAAATAAAAATAAATTAAATAAATAATTAAATAAACACTAATTAAAGAAAAAATATATTACAATAATAGACAAATATTTGGTGTGATGTCACTTCATAGTACTACTCTTACACTGCAATCAAACACAAAGGTTGTCATTGTCCACAACACGACACACAATAAAACAAAAATACCCCACTCTCTACTCGCGTTTTTATTTTTAAAAAAAACCCTAATTGTTTTTGGACAAACGATCTTTAATTAAAAAGGGTAAAACTTTCGAGATAATGTTCTGAAATAAATTAATTTACGAGTTAATGCACTCTCAAGATTAATTGCTCAAATAGGGTGAAATTCACAGTGTTGGCCGTAGGTCGCCATGCCTTGTAGGTCGTCATGCACTCCGGGCGACCTACCCTTTCTCAAACAGAGAAAATGAACGTGTTGCATGGCACATGCACGTCCCAACACATAGGTCGTCATGCCCTCCGGGCGACCTACCCTCTCTCGACTTCCCTCGGATTCCCTCGCATAGCTCGCTCAGTTGCCCTCAGATGACCTCGCATAGCTCGTTCGGATGGCCTCGGATGCTCTCGAATGGCCTCGGTCGGATGGCCTCGGATGCCCAGCGTGTTGGGACGTGCATGGCACATGCAATCTCTTGTAGCTCGCCGGGAAGACATGGCGACCTAGTAGGTCGTCCGGGGTCAATACTGTGGATTTCACCTTATTTGAGCAATTAATCTTGAAAATGCTTTATCTCGTGAATTAATTTTTTCCAGAACATTATCTCGAAAATTTTACCAATTAAAAAATATATCTTTAAATTACACATAAGATTATCTCGAGTTTTATAAAACGTTTTTTAAAGACTTCATTTTCTGCATAATCGTGAGATTTATTAATTTTTAAATAATTTTTTTATTAATGTTATTTGGGATTGTTTTTCAATAAAATAATAGATGAGGGTTTTTCATTTAATAACGTATCTCCGCTATTAATGGCGAAAATCTGCTTTCATTTTCATATCAAATATTCATCCTCTCCCTTTTATTTGCCTCGCTGCCATATAGAGAGTTTTTACGAATAATGATTTATATTAATTTTATCAAATGATTTTAGTGATAAAATATAACGTTAATTTTTTTTTAAAAAGAATTTAGATTTGAGTGATTGTGTTCAGAACGGAACCAAAAATTTATTGAGTTAAATATTTTTTTATTTCTTATAAGTATAATTTTTTTAATTGAGGAACTCGGTAAAACTTATAATTTCGTCCATGATTGCGTATGTAAGATATATGTTATTAATAAATTATCTCAAACTATTTAAATAAAAAAAATACTAATATAAGATTGTATGAAAATGACTCTAAATTATGGACAAAATGCTAAGATGGATTGTTGTAAAAACTGGCTGATATAGGTAGTGGAAAGTTTATCTTTTGAAGTAGGGTTAAATGAATAGTGAGGGGGAAGGACACTCGGAACACACGACGTCTTTCAGAAGTTGGTCGAAATACATAATGTCTTCAAATTTTTATTCTCTAGCAACCAGTGTTTTGACCAGTAATGACAGTAGTTTTCATGAAAGAGATGGAGACTCCAACGAGGGGAAATGATCACGTGCGGTAGTTTTAATATACGGCTAAAAAAAGATATTATCGGTTATGTTATTTAAATAATAACAAAACTGGTAAAAATTTACTGGAATCATTATTATTTATACCGATTTTGTTATTGTTGGACACTTTACCGGAAATGTTAAAAAGCATTGATGTTTTAGGTAGAAATAATAATGTTTTACCGGTTTTGTTATTTAAATAATAACAAAACCAGTAACGCCTATTTTTAGTTATATATTAAAGGTGTCACACTGTAGAACTTCTCCTCCAACCAGATAAAACTACAGTAGAGAAATTCAATCATAGTATTCTGACAAATAACAAAAGATACTGTGACGTTATTCCATCTTCATAAAGACGCCGACTAATCCAAACGTCTTCTCGATAATATTATAAAAAGGACTCCATTTAAAAAAATATATATTAGGTTGCATTAACTGAACAATTTTTTTGGCCAAATCAGCGTTAGGGGAAAATTATTTTAAATTTGACTTACCTAATGTTCTTATATAAAATTATTTTTTATAGGTTTAATATACTTTTAAATGCCTAAATTATATCTCAAATTGATTTTTGATGCTTAAAGAATATTTCGTTAAAAGTAGGTGTTTAATGTTTTTTTTTGCTTTAGGTGTCTACCATTAAAAAAATGTTAAGTGACACATGTCATATGGATTTTAAAAAAAATATTTTTAAATAATATTTATTTTAAAAATAAAAAATAAACGTGACATGTGTCACTAAACAATTTTTTTAACGGTAAGTACCTAAAAGTATAACGAAGAAAATATTAGGCATCTATTTTTAACAAAAAGTTCTTTAGCACCAAAAGTTAATTTGAAGTATAATTTATACACCTGAAAGTGTATTAAACTTTTTTATACAACATAATTTATAATATAAATTACAAAATATACTAATATTCATGTTATTAATTTAGTTTGGTAGATAAACATTATATTTTTAATCAAATAGACTTAAATTTACTTAAAAATTAAATAATATTAATTTAATAAAAATTATATATACATAATATCTCATATCATCACTTTTAACATGTGATAATGTCACGTTACTATTTTAAATATGTCATAGTATTACGGTAATACTTTAAATATGTAGCATATATTACATCATTATTTTAAACACATAATATATGTTATGTTATAATTTATATGCGTAATAATATTATGTCAATACTTTAAATAAATAAAATTTATCATAATAACAATAAATTTTAATAATTTGTTATTAACAATCGCTATTCAATTAAGAATTATTTTAACTTAAAATAAAATATTAAAGTTTGAAGTGCTTTAAAAAAACAAAATTATTATTAGATTAAATATTATAATAAATTTTGATATTATACTAATGAAAATATATAAATTTTAAATTATTTTTAAATTACTAAAAACATAATAAATTAATAAAAGAGATTCAAATTTTTAAGATTTTAATTTCAAATTTTGACAAATGAATTTTCTATAAATTTAATAGAAATTAAAGAAAAACCTTAAACTTCTAGGATAAAGTATACAAATATCCTCAAGGTATTGTTTTAGCAAGATTCTTAATTATGAAAAGTTATAAAATTATCCTTCGGCTATAGAGTATTATTTTGTTAAGTCTCTTGACTATTAAAAATTATAAAATGGTCACTGACTATTTATTATGTTCTACACTTATCATTTTCATTAAAAAATTGATAGTCGTATGAGCTGGACGTTAACATGATGAGTGAAATATAATAATTGTTTAAGATTTTATGATCATATTTTATTATATCACAGTTAGTAAGTTAACATTCAACTCAGAATGTCGTAAATTTTTAATAAAAAATGATAGATTTAGAACATAATAAATAGTATGATGATTATTTTATAACTTTTAATAGTCAAGTGATTCAATAAAATAACATTCTATAATCAAAATATTATTTTATAACTCATAATTGATATAACTTAATAAAACAGTAAACTATTATCGGGACCCTTTGTGAATTAAAAGTACATTTATTTGGCATAATAAACACTTTACAAAATGAACTTAAAAAGGGTAAAAAAACAGGGAGTTGAAAGTGAAAGACAAAAGACACAAGAAGACATCGCTGTCTTAACTTCGGCAATTCTTCTTAATTCACTCAATTCGCTTTTATAATCTCTCTCTCTCTCTCTCTCTCTCTCTCTCTCTCTCAGTTCCGGGGCTTCGTGCCCCGACCCGAAAAACGAAGAAAACCCAACTCTTGGTTTGCTCCTATTCTTTGTTGGCCCTGCATTTTCCATCACTTTCCTGGGGGAAAAAGGAAGCAGCTGCAGGAAGAGAAAAAATGTACTCGGGTATTCGGTCGTTACCGTTGGATGGAAGTGTGGAAGATTATCAAGGTTCGTTTGATGCGACCAACTTGACCGGCGATGCTTGTTTGCTCCTGACGACGGATCCCAAGCCCCGACTCCGATGGACGGCTGAGCTCCATGAACGTTTCGTCGATGCCGTTACTCAACTCGGCGGCCCCGACAGTGAGTTTTTTTCTTTTCTGGGTTATTTACATACTGAGCTTATTTTCATTTGATTGGATAATAATGAATTGTTTTATTCTTTGTTGAGGTTTTCTGAGTGCTTTTTAGTGAATTTCGAATGGTGGGTCGATTTTCACTTTCGAAAGCCTTTAGTTCTTAAAATGTGGATCGGTTTTTCTTGACTTTTTTGCTCTCCCTTGTTGCTTTAGATCTTTGGTTTATGTGATGTAATAGTGATGAGATTTGGTCAATGGCTTCTTTGAGATTGATTGGTTTTTGATTTCTGGGTTTTTTTTCTCTGTGTTAGCCTTGATTTTGAGACTTTAGCCCTCTTTTACATGTATGTGTCTGTGTGTGTATGCATGTAATTTGTATTGTTGGCTGAGTTGAAGTGATTAAATTGAGTGTTGAATTGACTTTCTGGATGAGGATATGTTGTTACCATGTTCTCCATATCAGCTTTGATTTCCAATCATCTTCGATTATCGATGCCGTTACACATCGGTTGAAAATAGATCATGACATCTAGGAACTTCATCTCATTCCAATCCTATATTTTTTACATCTTAGTTTACGATTTTGTAGGAAGAGACTTCCTTCTTATGCATAAATTCATAGACATTAACTATAGCTCATTCATCGAGGTTGGTTTCGTTTTCATTTTGATCTATTAATACTACTTTCTGGTTATACAATTCTCTGGTAATATTCAAATTTGTGACCCTCTCTGTGTTTCCGGGGTTCTTCTCCAACGATAAAATACAACCAAAAGGACAAAACAATGTTTTGGGACCATGATTTTTTTAAAAGGAACCATTATGTTCAATAATTGATGTCAGCATACTTTTGTTGGAAGACAAACTTAGGCAAATATGGTTACTTTGCCCTGCTCTGGGAAGAATATTATCGGGACTAGTGTTTCCTTCTTGTGAAAGTTATGCCAAAGTAGTAAGATCAGGGCCAAATGACCGGGTTTGTGCAGAAAGTTATTTATGTTGTTTAAACATTGCTTGTAAGGCATAGCTTGTAAGGCATAATTGTACAAGCATCGTATCATGATGTTCTTTCCTTCTCCTTGAACATGTAACCGTCTTTAATGCGATTCTCAAGCATACCGCAGGTTAAACGGATCTCTAGCTTATTTGTTGTTGTCTAATGTGGATTTCTAATTATGTTGCTGATCCGTATGCTGTAATTGTAATCAAGATGCTCGTGGTTGTGAGGTCACAAAATGGAGGAAAAGAGTACGAAAATAGTTTTTTTTGTGAGTGATTTGGGACGAGTCTCAATGTAGTAAGATACAGTCATATAAGTAACAAATTACGAAACTATGAGTGATTTTGTGATGGCCAAATGACAACCACCTAACCCTTAGGCTACTAATGTCAGTCTGTTAAATGTTCCTTCTGGCATCCTTTGTTCAATTGAGGCTTATCACTGCCGAGGCAAATTGGGCTTCATGTGCATCCAAGCTTGGCTGATATGCAACCAAAGGTCCAAAGATGTAGATGACTGGTTCCCCGAATTCTCTAACTATAATTGTTGAGCCATGGTTTAATACAGTCACTTAGCCAGGTTAATCATATGTGCTTGTCAATTTGAACATGAGAGTGATTTTATGTGAACCAAACCTAGCTAATTGACAATGACATTACAAGTCAACATTCGGGATATGTCCTATATGCTCTTGCATTTTGTTATTTTAAAGTTATATATCTCAATGTTGCTTACTTGTTTTTTCTTGATATGCGTCGCAGAAGCAACCCCAAAGACTATCATGAGAACAATGGGAGTAAAAGGCCTTACCCTCTATCACTTGAAATCACATCTTCAGGTTTGTAATCATTGTCGTATCTTTAATGATCATTATCTGAAGTTATTCCGTGCTGTCATGTCTTAACCCCTTCTATTTCTACGTTGAATATGGATCTTTCTTTGAAACAAGACTTACTACAATCTGTGTCATTCGTACTCTAGTGTGTCGAATACGAGTATTTTCAAATTTTTCCTTGGAGGATCATATCCTAATACCTATATGCTCAATAATGTCTGGGACACGAGTATTTCAAGAATAACGAAGAGTCGGAACAACAGAGAATGTAATTACTAAGCTTAATGTGTGTTTACAGTGCACCATCTGTATATGCATGTGTTTGTGTTGGAAGGAAGGGGCTTTACACCCTAAGCTTCTTGAAAATCTAACAATTTTATTTTCTACTTCTTTTACTTAATCCCCTCAATTTGCAGAAATACCGGCTGGGGAAGCAATCTTGCAAGGAATCAACTGATAATTCTAAGGATGGTAAGATTCTTTGTCTCTTGAAATTACTATTTATTTTAGAGTTCATGCCTTTAATGTACCTATGAGCACCAAATTGTCGAATTTTGTCAATCTTTCTTTGCATTTAACCTCTTTTCAATTGTTTTCCTTTCTGCCATGTATGTATTATATGCTGTTCTTGGTGGAGAGGTCCTGAGGATTCTCGTGTTAACTGATAGACTTGGAGATAGTATCATGTTCTTAGTTGATTGATAACCAGATGTTTCATTGGTGTTTCAGTTTCTTGTGTTAGAGAAATTCAGGACACCGGTTCATCTACAACATTAGCTCAAGAGTTGAATGAGTATGTTATTTCGTCTCTCATTTCACAATCTTGTTACTTTCTCTTGCACTTTGGATTAATGCTGAACTTCATCTTCCACGCAGCGGTTTCCAGGTTACCGAAGCTCTCAGAGTGCAGATGGAAGTGCAACGAAGACTACACGAACAGTTAGAGGTCTGTATAGTGTACTTTTCGGTAACATTCACTTTTTACGATAGTTTTACGGTTAGGTATCATGTATAAGCCAGCCAATAAAGTGAAAGTTTTCGAAAGCTACCTGCCGATATTGATCACCCTTAGCTGTCTGAAATACATTTTCCGTGTATGAATTTCCGAAGCCTAATGGTTTTTAACTTTGCAGGTACAGCGTCGTCTTCAACTTCGGATAGAAGCACAAAGCAAATACCTACAGTCAATACTCGAGAAGGCCTGCAAAGCTCTGAATGATCAGGCCGCTGCTTCCGCCAGTCTTGAAGCTGCCAGAGAAGAGCTTTCCGAACTGGCGATCAAGGTTTCCAACGATTGTCAAGGGATGGCCCCTCTCGGCAACATAAAATTGCCTTCTTTACCTGAACTCGCTGCAGCTTTAGACAACAGTGCTACCACTTCCAATATACCTACCCGAGTTGGAGACTGCTCCGTCGAAAGCTGCTTGACTTCAACCGAAAGTCCCGTTTCACTGACCGGCTTTACGAAGAAGAGGCAAAGGCCCTTGTTTGGTAATGATGACCCTTTACCTTTGGATGGCAGTTTTAGGCAAGAAATAGATTGGGTGATGCCTAATATTGATTAACTTCCCTCTTAGATATGCTACTTATTGTTGTTTTATTTTGTTTATCTAAGTGTATTTTCTCTTTTAACTCGCTTGATTCAAACTTTAAGTACATGAAATTCTTATATTACATTTTAAAAAATAACATATAAATCGTTAATATTAGATCAAATTTAATTAAAAATTTAATATACTACTTTTTTAGGGCTTCTCGCGAACTTTTTGAGTTGGATATCAAGTAATTCGTTTCGACTCATTAAGAACTCGAATTTAGTTTGAGGTTATTTGATTCGAGTATTGCTTGAACTTTAACTAAATCAAAGTCACCGAATCTTTTAAATAGACATTTGCTCCAAAAACGATAGCTATATAAACTTCCATCAAAAGGAACAAAAAATAATAGGAACTTGACAAATAACATTTGCTATCTTTCTCCTTCCAATTTCTTCCTCTCGATCCCTTCATCGACTCAATGATCAACCTCCATTGAGTCGATCAATAACCAACTCGGGGAGGGCGAGTTACCCAGATTTGAAAAAAGAAGAGAAAAAAAATAGAAGAGATTTGAAAAAAGAAGAGAAAAAAAAATAGAATCAATATCATTTTTTATCGATGGCATGCGAGGTCATAAATTCATGGACATTCATTGGCCTATTGGGTGCTTTCCTTAATCTTTTCATAGCTTATATATTGCTCTGTGGATCATCCGTTGCGTATTTGGCTTCAAAAATTCTGGGTTTCTTTGGACTGTCCTTGCCTTGTCCTTGTAATGGGATTTTTGGGTACCCAAATGAGAACCTTTGTGTGCAAGCCATGCTGGTTAACCACCCATTACTTAAAATCTCATCCGTTCAATCTTCTGCTATGAAAAGGTTTCCCTTTGAATCAATCTGGGACGGCCTTTATCGAGGAGGAGGAGGAGGAGGAGTAGGAGAAGAAGAAGAGGAAGATGGCAGTCGAAGCCAATCGAATTCCGAGAAATGGCGGAATGGAGGAGAAGCGTCTTCTAGTTCGTGGCATGAGAAGAAGAACGTTGAAAATGGGAGATTTGGGTCGAATCCTAAGGGGCCTTGTAGTTATCATCGAAGGCCTAGAGTTGGTCTTAGGAATCGTTCTTCTGCTAGTGTTGGTTGTAAGCTTGGGACTCCAGCTAGCACCAATTCTGTTAACTCCGAAGGTGATGATGATCCTTTTTGTGAAACTCTACATCTTTTGTATGTGTTGTTACGATTTTGATCTGTTTTTGTTGCTCTTTTTTGTGTTGATTGTGTTGGAATTTCGTCTTCATGAACGTTTGGGTGATAGAAACATGTCTAGAATTGGCACTGGCTTGCACCTTTGTTGATGGTAACATTTGGTTTGATTTTGATGTAGAGTCGTAGTCGGTTGTTTGAAGAGAAATGATATGCTTAGAATGGTAGTTGATTACAAATTACGGGTTACAGTTCTCTGTCTAAATCAGAAGGGTGAACCGTTCACGATCTTAAGTATTCACCTCGATAAATTACACCATGATAGCTCTAGTCCTGACATCAACAATCTTGATGATGAATGATCACATTAATATTAGATTTTGGACACCTTTTGAATACAATCTAATGAAATAGTGACGACTTAAAACAAATGTGTTTTGAGAATGCAATAAGCTAATGTTTCTTTGATTGTTCATTTTCTTTGAAATATCCATATTCGATACATATTTGGACATAGATATGGAGGTATGACTCTCCAACAATCCTTACACCCGAGTTCGAGTAACATAAGAAGCAAGTATATTGTTACGTTTGTAAATGAAGCTCTGTTGGCCATGGCCATGTTGATGACCATTGATGAAGGTTTAGGTGTTGCTATAAGGGAATACACATGATAAATGCATTTGCTTTTTAACTTGCATTTCCATTTCATATGCTAATACCCATCTAATGTGCACTTTTATGTAATTTAGATGGCAAAGAAAGCTCAAAAGAGTTTGGATTGCTTAAGCAAGGTTCTTCGGGTTTCGAAATCGACGATGACCCTTTTTCTGTAGCTAAGAAAGAATTAGCATCGGTTGAGTCTCAGTGTGATGGTCACAAAAATGTGATTAGGGTCTTAGAACGAGCTCTGGACAAAGAGCATGCCGGTTGTGCTGCTCTGTACTTGGAGCTCGAGAAGGAGAGGATCGCTGCTTCTACGGCTGCGGATGAGGCTATGGCAATGATACTGCGCCTGCAAGAAGAGAAGGCAACCATTGAAATGGAAGCAAAGCAATATCTGAGGATGATAGAAGAAAAAGCTGCATTCGATGAAGAAGAAATGAACATCCTGAAAGAGAATTTATTAAGAAGAGAAAGGGAAAAACTTTTCTTGGAGAAGGAAGTTGAAGCTTACAAGAAAATGTTTTTCGACAAAGATCAACTGTATGCTGATATATATGATGCTGCAGCTGTACAGGAGCAAATGATTTCAAATGTGGGGCCGTTGCTAATGTTGGAACAGATCCCTCAATCTGTTGGACAGAAGTGTGAGTTCACGTCGATCGTGTCACCAAATCGATCTCTCGATTTCGGGAAAGAGTTACTGATTCCACGACTCAGTGAAGTTCCATCAAGAAGTTATCATGAGATTTATCAAGCCTTTGAGAAGGGAATGACATCCAAGGATAAGAATATTAATCTGGTAGGTGAAGAGATAATCCGACCACTGGTGGATTCCGGTATTATTGTTCGTAATGTTCTCGATGTTCATATCATTAATGAAGATAGCAAAAACAAAAGGGACAACAAATCTATTACCTCAAACTCACCTAAAACCTGTGATTATCCAACCAGTGGTGGATCAGAAACTGAGCCTTGGAGGAAAAGAAACACTTCAGACAGATCTAGTGGGTTACCACCAATTGCTCCTTCAAGGGTCAAATCTTTACCTCCAATTTCTCGTAGAAACTCCATGTCTGCTTTCGATTACGAAATGTTTAAAATCGACAATGAAGTCGGGTTGCTAAGAGAAAGGCTAAGGATTATACAGCAAGGAAGAGAAAAGCTTAACATCCCTGCAGGGCCCAAGGAAAGGGAACAATCTCAGATGCAAATGATGGAAAACATTGCAAGTCAACTTCAAGAGATACGACAATTATCGGTACCCCAAAAGGCTTTGCGACAGGCGTCTTTGCCCTCTCCATCCTCTAAGGTGCTGCATTTCTCTCTGCATCTTTGTTTTGCATGATTAATTCTTGCAGTAGGCATTTCTTGGATATTACATTACTTCACAAACCAGAATGGTCACCGACACCTGACCCTATCCCGGTCCACAATGCCTTAATCAAAGGCTTCTCCGGGATGTGGATGTTCTTTTAACCAATGCATCAAGCTGACTTCGAATGATAGTCGTACTTTAATGTAGATGTCGATTTCTAGAAGATATAATATCTGTTTTCCCATGGCATTTAGCCTTTATCTCTTGCTAGAAAGATAACTGTAAACTGTGAGTCAATAGAACAACTTGACTGCTTGCTCGAGCTGCATGGTTTCAGGTTATGTCAAAGAAGAGACATGGACATGGTGCTCTTTTGGGAGAGATGAAAAGCATTTAAAGGAGAGAATTGTACACACAATTTTCGCTAAACGAGATGAGCTAGATAATCCGATTGGTTGGATCCATTTGGTACCGCGCTGATATCTTCCGACGCGCTGATTATAACTTCCCTATGATTGCACAGGTAAAGCTGTCTGCAGAAACTTCTTACATTTTGAGGAAATATAAACTGAAAGGACACACACACATGCATACATACATATTTATATATATACATGTTAGTTTCATCTTCTTGTTGTAGAATCCAATCTTGACTACTTGGTAGCTCTTTAGGTTCCTGAAAGAACTGAGCTTCTGTCGATCACACTTCAGATAACCACCACTTCGACCGACGAATTCCGGGTGCGATGCTATGCTATGGTGATATAAAGCTGTCGATTATTGTAACGAATGCGATGTTATTACTATATATTAATTTCGTCATATTGTTATACGTCGGACACAAATATCGTACACGGTTATTTCATGTTTTTAAATGAAAAGTCAAAATAACACTTCGAAATGTTTGTACCGTCATATTTTTTTAAAAAAAATAACATTTTAACAAGTTCGAGATTCGAATTAAACATTTATATATTCCTTTCTATTCAAATGAATAGAAAAATCAAGGTAAAAATGTAATGTATCAGAGACCAAAATAGCATCCCATATCATATCCATGTCCAAGGAAGGCAATCTACTCAAGTGTACACCGTCAACATCCGACGGTAAAATCTCCGAACTTTCCACCGTATTCCGATCCAAATCCGAAAATTTCTCCACCGGCATCGACGTCGATGTCTTTGATGGATCGAGACCAGACTTCTGCGATACCACGTGCAACTTAGCTTCGAGAACAGCAGCGGTGTTCCCGGCCAAAGAATTGGCAATCACCTGATCCTTAAGGTCCGGAAAATTCACCTATGCATATTCTCCCCGCAATATGTAAGCTGCCGTATCATATGCGGCGATGGCAGCTTCTTCGGCGGTCTCGAAAGTCCCTAACCAAACCTAGTCCCTAACTTATAAAATTTTAGGGGGCAAAAACATATTTTCATAAAAAATACATTGAAAAATATAAAATATATGGTTATTTTAAATTTTTAGGGACGAACCCCTCCCTGACTATAACCGATATGTTATAATCAAAGAAAAACTATTATAATATCGAACAATATATACACAAAATTTTTATATTATTACAACGATAATAATATTAACCGAAATAAATTCGATAAATTTAAAATATTTAAATTATACATATTCATTTCCCTTTAGCATATAAAAAACCTAGAATAAATTTGTTGACATCAACCTCGAAACAAAACTTGGATTTAAATATTGCATAGGCAGTAAGCAATCTCTCAACAACTCCATTAAAGGAGAAGTGTTTTAATCATTGTTTGTGGGTGTTTTTTCTAGTCCTATATAACAAATAAGTACACAAAGTATATAATCTTTTTTATTTAAGTACCTAAAGTATTTTTTAATCAAAATACGTACCTACAATATTCAATTTTTTCATCTAACTACCTAAAATATTCTTTAATCATGTCAACTTTTTAGAATTTAAATGAAAAAGTTTGAACAGTGTAGGTACATATTTTGACATAAAATATTTTAGACACCTATTTTGACCGAAAAGATAACTTTAGATATTTATTTTGACAAAAAAAAATACTTTAAGTATTTAAATGAAGAAGATAATATACTTTAAATATTTATTTGTCATATAAGCCTCTTTTTCTAATGTCATTGACTTTTTTTATTCATTTTTGTTTTGTCTTTGTCAAATACACACAAAAGTTTGGTAGGGAAAACCAAAACGTCAACTTAGAAATAATTAAAAATTTATGATCTTATTTAGAGTGGTTAAAATATGCATGTGCAATAGTTAAATTATATATTTAATTTAAGGATAAAGTATATAAATGGTTCCCGATTATACAATATAATTTTATTGAGTCCCTTAATTATTAAAAATTACAAAATAGTCGCTCGACTGTTCACTATGTTCCAAACTAGTCCTTTTCCATTAAAAAATTAACGTCATCTAAGTTAGATATTAACACGCTGAATGATACATGATAGTCGGTTGAGATTATGAGATCAAATTTTATCATATCTCAATTAATAGGCCAACGAACAACTCAAGCAATCGTAAAATTTTTAACGAAAAAAGACAAGTTTGGAACATAATGAATAGTTGGGCTGACCATTTTGTAACTTTTAATAGTCAAGGGACTCAACAAAGCAATTCCCTATAGTCGAAGGACCATTTTGTAACTTTTAGTAGTCGGATGACTTAATAAAGCAATTCTCTATAGTCAAAGGACCATTTATGTACTCTACGGTTAATTTAAATGGATTGAATTTTCTATAAAATACTTCTAATCTATAATCAACTTAATTTGGGGTTGAGAAAAGATTTTGTGAAAATTTCTTTTATTTACTTTAATCTCCTTTTTTGTGTTTTATTGAAAGAACTAGCGTTTCAGCAATATACGTTTCTTCGGACTCAAGGCAAAGCTTCCAACCCTAAAATTCCATTTATAGAATCATGCAGTCTATACAGTCCTAGCCATGGGATGAAAGCTATATACGCGTATTTTTATATTCGTATTCGAATACATGTCGAATGCAAATACCTGATTAACTCAACAAATAAGCTCCTTAAAAATATGAATTTAAAATGGAAGAAAATGAAACCCTAATTGCAGTCATTTCTCTTGAATCCATACATATGATCGGAATCCGAAATAAAAAAAGGTTCATTTCTAGTCCTATAAATTGTGTAAACCAGAGAAAAAATTGTAGTGTCAGTCATATACATGGTGGTACTGAATATTTTGAAGCTGCATGAATCTGGTACGTCCTACACCTGAGATAGAAACACGCCATGCAAATAGTGAGAAAGAATTTTGTCCGAGGAAGGAGCTGAACTATGTTACTCGAATTTGGGTATGTGTATGTTTCATATGCATGCATGTGCACTACATATGTGTTTTAAGGGTCGATTGGACACGAGCATCAGATACGGATACTTCGAGAAAAACAAAGAGTCGGAGCAACAGAGGTTGTACCCTCAGAATAAAGGAAAGGAATGTAGATGTTGGGATTCAGATTCTAGGTATGGAATGTTTTCTCTTTTCATGGTTTTCAAAAGGCTGTGATTAATATAGACTATATTCTGTTGTTTGTGAAGCAAGTCATCGCTCCTGCCTTGGGGTTTTTTTTTTTTCTCTGTGGATTTGACCTAAGCTTAATTACCTTTGGTTCAACTGGGACACCGATCGGGCTGCCGTACAATGTAAATTACATCTGCACCAAAGGAGTAGCGGTCTTGATTACGGTACCAAATCCACAAGGCATGAGTCTGGTTTTTCACCTGTAAACCGCAGAACACTTGCTCATCAGAAACCTAATACCTACTTGCAGATGTTTCGACTTGGTCGAGTTTATACTAAATGTAGTTAATGCTTGATATATTTTGAAGGCATGATAGATTTCAATTTGAGACATGAAACTTTGTTAAAATGTACTGATACAAACTGAAACTTCGATGGTGATGCTCCAATGTTCAAGGCTTTTTCGGGAAAATCTTTTTTGAAGATACCAATATCGGGCACATATCCGTGTCCGACACACTCACGAGTAACAGTGTGTGTGCGCGCACACGTGTGAGAGAGGGAGGAGGAGAAACAGTGTATGTAGTACCTCAAGAATCCCATAGCCAAAGCTACTTTCTCTATAAGCACTATATTCAGGCTGTTCGTTCCAGCAGAAATTACCAACTGCCGGACCGGATGTAAAATTGAATCCGCAAAAGCCACCCATAAATCCATCCGTGGTGTTAGAGGGAACTGGACAATTTCCAGGTTCATCAGCATGCTCAAGAGTTAAATTCTCTTCATTTCCACCAGTACCAACATTGATATGAACCGGACCACACGGATCCAGCGTGTAGTTATATACTCGGTTTGACCTCTCATAGCCATTAACCTGATTCATTGCCAAGAATATTTTATCTCAATTCATTTTATATGCAATATACAACAACATTCGAAGCATGAAACAGATAAAACAGTGATTCGAACTAAACAAATACCGAACCCTACGTATTTCTCTAACAAGTTCTTATGTATTTTAAGGATCCTTGAGTATATCTCCATACCCGCACTGGATACAGGTGTTGGACACAATGCTTCGAGAAAAGTGAAGACCCGGAGTAACATAGCTACATAGAAAACATGCTCACTGCTTTATGAGACAGGCGTCCAAATGAGTCTAAAATGTCATAGATTTTATTCAGTCAATATTTGCAGAAAACTAGTTGTTTCCTCCCATGCGTTCAGCTGGGAAGGATTGCTTCAACTGGCAACTCGAAGTGACTGATTAAAAACTCCATTAACAGAAAAATCCATACACACACACACACACACACAACTATATCTATGTGCATTACTTTTGACTCTGACCTGAGAAGTGAAGAACACATACTGGAGTTGAAAACAAATTTCCTTTCCGTTTTAGTTGCCCTAATATGCTTAAAACATAGTTTTATGCGAAGAAATGCTACTACGTTAAACAGCGCTTACTTGTCCATTGAAGACGAGGTCAACTCCATGTTTATATAGCAAATCTTCCATTTCCACTCTCATACACTCTGCCTCTCTGTAATGTTCCTTGTAGGTATTGTACCAGGGAGGACTCCAAGCAGCTATCAACCATGGTGTCACGCTTCGGTTGACGTTACTCAGGTCTTGTTCCAGCCATTTATATTGATCAGCTGCAATTGATAGAGCAAAGTGCCTTTTACAAGGAACGTAAACACAATCCGTGAATAGAGAAAAGACCATATTGATCAAGAGAAAGGAAAACGAGGAAAAAAGGATGGTTGATGACTGTACATGATTTATCATAGGGAGTATATGCACCGACCATCACAAAATGTATTCCGCCGACATTAAAAGAGTAGTACAATGTCGACCCACTTGTATCGGATGGAAATGCAAATCGGGAACTGTATGCAGTGAACGTCTGATTATCTGCTTGTCTCTCAATCTCATGCTCGCCTTCTATCAGCATTGTTGGAACAGTAGCCGTTAGAATCTGCATAAACCTGCAAATGAAGTTTTCATTAAAAAAAATCATCTTGACAGAGGAAACTAATAGGTAATAATCAAGCAAGATATCGAAGTTTACCTTCCCCAATGGTCCCAACGAGGCTGATATGTTTCTTGGAGAGGAGTTTGCGGAGATGAGCAATTTTGACAGTCAGAGAAAGCTCCATCAGTACCATATAAGTCGGCAAAACTTAAACCTCCAACCAACAAAGCAAGATCTGGATGATTGGCTACCATGTGACTAATCATTGTGCTAGTATTATAAGTAAGACCGAGGCCTCCAACCACCGCTATTCTGCTTGGATAGTCCTCGGATGAGGAAGGCATTGTTCTAAAATAATGAACATCACTCATTGTTATATTAGGATCTCCACATTGATATTCATACATAGTGTCGGATTCCAACCCTGCAGAAAGGCACGACGATAGTAATGTTCAAACTAACCGAAAAATTCAAGATCATTTTTGTATGTAACCATGTTCAACGAAATGCACATATTAGGATCTCCACTTTAATCATACATAGTATCGGACCAATATCATGTTAAATATTGCACTATTACAGAAGCTGGCACACGAGGTGCGAGATATTATCCACTTTGACTGGAAAGTTTCATCATTGTGTCTCGCGATAAAACACATCGAAAGCACGGTTTTAAGTCTATGTTTGTATACCATATCAAATTTCCACAACTTCCCAGTATGCTACCAGGGGCATTACACAAACAATAAAAGAATCGGCTGTGCATGAGACTAGAATCCAACAAAGACCTCAACCCATAAACGAAACAGAATAGAATATAGCCGATGAACTTATCGATCGAAAACCGAACAAAGGAAAGCATAAAAAAGTGCATAGTTCTAGTACCAATAAGAAGGATTAATGTATATATACCGGTGATAAGAACATGGTGTATAATCCCAGAAGTGTAGTTTTCAAGGCCTTCATCAGGAAATTGTTGACTGTAAACAAATGAAGAGCCTATAGCTTGATTATTCCGACCCGATTCGTAGACTCCATATTGAACAACACTGGCTACACTTTCAGGATCCAGTGGTTCTACATCATCACCTATCTGAAATTCCCCTGAAAATTTTATAGTTCACAAGAAAAAACAAATCCCATAAGCTAATCTGGGCAAGACAAAAGGAGCAATTGAATTCCTCAAAACTCAAATCCCTCAGCAAAACATCAGTTGGGACCATAATGGCAAACACATTACTTGATTCTAAAAATTGAAGCTTTTTTTAAATGAACATCCATGGCTGCCATCATGCCTTAACCAAAAATAACATAAATTTAATGCATCAACTGAGTAAATACCTGTGATCCAAGAAACCCAAACTGAGCTGAAGTTTGAAGAGAGAGAAAGTGAAATTTGTTGGGGCTGGAACTCAATCGTTGGCCTTAACAAGGGGTTCTTATTGACCGGCAAGCTAGTAACTTTACCGACAATGCTGTAATCTACAGGCACAGTCACTGGTTTAAAGGGTCCTTCAAGGGTTGTTGGGAATTGCCCATTAACTAGAACGAATATCAAGGTTAGGAGAATCAAACAATGTGGTTGTAGCATGTATAAAGACTCCATAGCCAAAACCATTACCGGGTTTTCTCTCGCATGGAAAAAGAAGATGGTTATAAGAAAATAGAAAAGGACTAGTGAAAGTGAAAATCAGGGAGGAAGAAACAGAGAATAATCTGAATGCAGAGCTCATACATATATATAAATATATGACTGAGTAATGGAACTCATGGAAGGAAGGAGTTGATACTATTTCACTATCCATACGCCCGTGAGCCGTTTGGTTCAATTCCATGCATTTAATTTAGAAAAGGGTAAACTTTGTGTTTAGTCACTTACCTATTCTCACATTTATGTTTTAGTCATCAAATGTATTTTTTTCAAAATCATATTTAACGTTACGTTTTATTTCTGTTTTTGTCACATGCAGTTAAAAAATAAAAATAATTAATGATTGTGATAATTATTATTACTTTTGAATGATGATGTGGCATTGTCTTATGGTATCAACATTATCATTAATTTTTTAACGACAGATGATAAAAATAGAACCAAAACATAACATTAGGTGATATTTTGAAAAAGAAAATAGTTTGATAACCAAAAGAAGTGCCAGAATAGATGTGCAACTAAATACGTCGGGGTTATGGAGTGTTACTCTCTAAAGGTTTTCAATTCAAGCAACTAGGTATATAGAGTGTATTGTTAATGACTAAAGAAGATTCTGAACAAATATTATCTTATAACCATCTTAAACTACTCAATAAATATATATTTATTTAATTCTCTTTGAAATATGGTAAACTGTCTAAAAGATCACTCAACTTTTAGAGTGTTAACATTTTAATCATTAAATTATCAATAACATTTATGTTTTGCGCAATAGACTTTATATTTTAGGGTAAAGTACACAAATGATCCTCCGATTATATGATATTATTTTATTAAGTCTTTCGACTATTAAAATATATAAAATGATCAATCAACTATTCATTATGTTCCAAACTCGTCCTTTTATATTAAAAAATTGATGTTATTCTAAGTTGAAGTTAACTTGATTGTGATATGATAAAATATGATCTCAGAATCTCAAATGACTATCATATCTCAATCATCAGTTTAACATCCAGCTTAGATAAACGTCAATTTTTTAACGAAAAAAGATAAGTTTGTTACATAATGAATAGTTGAGCGATCATTTTGTAACTTTTAATAGTCGAGAGACTTAACAAAGCAACATCTTATAATCGTATGATCGTTTTATAACTTTAATTGTCGAGAGACTTAATAAAATAGTACCCTATAGTCGGAACCATTTGGGTACTTTACCCTATATTTTATTCATTCACCATTAATTTAAGTTATCAGCCATCCCTCCCGCAATACCATCACTATTAAGTAATGGAAAAGTCGACACAAGGCATGGATGAGGATACTTTTTACCGACAATTATGCGGCCACGATATAACTGTGGAAATTATGGGCCCACAATAAAAAAATATTAATTTTTTAATAAAATAAAATATTAAACCTTTTAAGTGAATCTAAGATTAACAATTTAAATTTTGATAATACAAATAAGTTGAGAGAACGTTATGTACTAAGTTTTATAATATTCTATTTAAATTAATTAATCAATAAATTAAATATTAATAGTTAAATAAAAAATATAAATTAATATTATAATAATAAAATACTCGGTACATTTGTACAATATATAAATTAGTTACTTGATAATTAATTATAATACATACTTATTTATTCATCTATTTTTTTAATTTTTTATTAATCTGGGATAACAAGACAATATATGTTTAAAGATAATTCTCAAAATTTTGACATTGAACATTTACACATGTGTTATCTATGGTGCTCGAACCCGAGTCCTTAAAGAATATCAACAATTTATTTATCACGGATGTCACTTGTGTAAACACTCGTTTTCGTCCGAATTTAGGTTTTTATTTATTTATTTTTATTATAGTAATATAGTATACTTTTTGAAAGTGTTTTTAAAAAAATATAATATATAATTTTCAAAAAAAAAATTGAAATATATATTATATAATTTTTTGAAACGTTTTTGAAAACTTATGTACAATATATAAGTTTTAAAAATATTTTGAAAATTATATAGTATATTGTTTTGAAATCATTTTGAAAATATAAAATATAATTTTTAAAAAACATTTTTTGAAAATTTATATAATATATAGTTTAAAAAAACATTTTGGAAAACTTATATAACATTTTTAAAATCATTTTTGAAAACTATATAATATATAGTTTTGAAAACGTTTTTAAATAAAATATATAGTTTAATTTTTTTTTGAAACATATATTATATAATCTATATTATTATTAATATTTATTTTATTTCATTTCATTTTATTAATCTAATTTAATTTCATTCATTATTTTTGTCAGGGTCCAAACGGGGTCCAAATAACGGGCATGAACTAGCCAAATAACAAGATACGGTTCAGGGTCTAGGAAACCCTAGTCATACATGTCACAGGCGGCGCAAGTTAGGGGAGCCGTGCAGTCAAGCCTGCAACGGTCAGACGTTCCGGCTGAGATTCCCGGGACTGACCCATCCCGGGATGGCCGGCCAACCACGAACATTAGGCCCGAAAGATACAGGAACGACCCCGTCATCACCGGAAATAGCCCTGTTGGGGGGCTATATAAATACCAACAGAGATATCATCAGGGGGACCCCATCAACCAACAACAGAACCCACATACGGCCAAAAAACGAAGCCAAGAGTGAACCACAGTAAACCGAGAGTATCATCGAGTGAAACAGAGAACCAGGTCATCAACTAGCCAACCTCATAAGCAAACCAAACCACCATAACCGAGCCACAGAAAACAAGAACAATAAAAAGCATCGAAGCAAAACCGAACCACAATAGCCAACAAAAAACCCAAATCGAAGTATAAACCCAAAGGTCGAAGCCCCACAGCAAAGCAAACTAAAAAAATCAAAGCAAAAAAAGCAACACGGTCACCGGAAAAGTCAAGGGTCACCGGCGAGGAAGGTAAAAAGACCGAACCTTTCGGGCCAGATCTACTGCGTTCGGGGAAGTTTTAGGTGACTTAGGCTTTGATTTTGCGTTTAGGGTGACGAAGAGGGTACTCAGTGAGGTTTTGGGGTTGTCCAGCTATCGACGGTGACGACCGGAGCGATTTTCGGTGGAGGCTGGCACGATTAGGTTCCCACCCGGGAGAAGGGTCGTTTTTGAGAGTGGGAGAGTTGGGAGAGATGTTGTCTGAGGAATGGTGAGAAATGAAGAAGAAAGGGTCTCTTGGCCCATTTAAATACCAGGGGCCTCTGTGCAATTAGGGGATTTTTGAATTCGTTCCGTCATCCCTCGTACTTTGATTCGCTTTGTAATTCGGTCACCAGTTGTAATTTAGCCACTGGATTTTCAACGGTTTCAATTTGGTCCCCATTTATATTTTACATTTTTTTATAATTTGATCCATAAATTCTTATGTTATTTTATTTATTTTTTATTATCATGCTTTTTAATTATTATTAGTATTTTTTTACCTCATATTGTTTTCATTTTTACTTTTAAACCAATTTTTTAATACTTCTTTATTTTTATTTATTTAATTTTAATTTTATTATTTTATTTCTTTGGTATACATATTATTATTATTATTTTTCCTTCAGTTTATTTTTTAGGACCATTATTTTTATATATTTTTTCTCTGTCTAACTTTTTTCCTTTTTCAGTAATAATCTCAATTAATCAAAGGTAAGTAATGTGGTTCGAACCGAATTTTTAAATTTCAATTTTAAATTTTAATTTTCGCAATTAAGACAACCGACAAATTAATTGGTACCGAAAGAGCGGTTCAAGGGTGCTCATCCTTCCTTGACTGTAACCGACTCCTGAACCCGACACGTTTCTGGTACAACGCAAATCAGGTAAGATGGTGTCCGGCCCACCTAAATTCGTTTTAAAGTGGTCGGTGGAGACTCCAATTCATTTAATCCAAGTCGAAGCCCAATTTCAGGCCCAACCGAAAGACGGTTCCGACAGCTTGGCGACTCCGCTGGGGACAGGTAAGTGAGTCAGGCGGAAATTAATTTTCGGTTGTCTTTTTATGAGAAAATGTTAAATTTTAATTTTAATTTATTTATTCGATTCCAATTATTTATCTTTGATTATTTTTTTCAAATAAATAGTTGTACTGACGTTTTTTAATGACTTCAGATTTTTTTCAAAATTGTCATCTCTAAGCTCTAAACCCGAGCTCCGAACGCGTCTTAAGTGGGGGTGAAAGCGACGCATTCATATGAATTTATTCACCGCATATGCCTAGCAAGTAGCCTTCGGGATTCATATACCTTATGTCTTCGTGTGAATTTATTCACCGTACGGGCATAAGGGAATGTGTCCTCTTGAGTTTAACTTAGTCCACACAAGCCTGTGATGGGCTTAGGACTAAGGGTCTGGTAAGCCCAAGGGGGCACCGGCAAGGAGAACTCGAGTACCTTTTTAGAACTTGAAACGGGAGAATACATGAAATTAGAGCCCACCCCAATACCTCATTCCAAACCCTAGGCTACTTTGTTTCCTGCTTTATTTTCTGTTTAAAGCATGCGAACTAGACAAATATGCGGCTAGGATTTGTTTGAAATTAGCATGCGGGTTAGAAATCATGTCTGTGTAGGAATATTAAGCATGTTCGGGTAGATTATCATGTGGGGTAAGATTTTTTCATTTTTTTAATTTTTTATTTTGATTTACCTCACTAACTCCTTTTATTTTTTGTTCTATTTCGTTTTTTTCATCATTCGCATTATTTAAAATGAGGTGTTAATCCACCAAAAATGTGTTTGTTAAACATGAATAATCTGCATTAATGGACAAAGAGATTATAATACAAAGAGATAAAAAGCTTAGAAGACCAGCCGTGGTCAAAGAACACTCGGAGGCAAAGGTTGCAAGGGCAAGACGAGGAAAATGTTACCGACCCGGAGAGTCCTTTCAAAAACTGCGAGAACAAGATGGTGAAACCCTAGCTAAGCTGGAGATCATTATGGATAAATTCTAGAAACAAGTCAATAAACTTCGGGTGGAGGGCTTCGATGGCACTTTCGTTTGGAA